AATTCATGCAATTTCCATTTGACTCGCTGGATCAGTGACCTCATAACCCTAATGATCATGGGGTCAGGTGATCCTCGTGATAATATCCCTCCTGTGCCTACGTCACAGTCGGTCCTATTGTTCTTGCTCGGATTATCATTGCAAACTGTACCATATTTAGTATTAAATTTCTTAACTCAATTAATTCAAAGATACATTACATAGAATACTATGGGAATTTAAAGAGCATCGTGATATAATAAATATCTAAAACCCCATCTTTGCTGTCGTGTTAATTTGTGTTGTGGCAATAGTTCTTAGATACAGTAACACTAATTTCGAAACCCAGCCTGCTATGGCCATTATTTGTGGTAATGAAAGTCTCGCTTTCATTGCTGCTGTCACTTTACCTATATGTAAACTGTGACTTGAATATCTTCCTTTCAATCTTGCATGACTTGCAATTCGTTTGACAATTGAGCTAACAGTTCCCACCATTAATCTTTCTTTTTTTACTGATGGAAATACCCACTTCTCTGATTTTTCTCTAACATCTAAGTGTTTTTCTCACAATCCAACTGAACAAATGCTAGAGTTTGTAGGTTCTATTGAAATGAATTTGCCATTACCTTGTTGATCCGTTTTTGATTGATTTATGTGAATCCATAAAAGATCATTCTTCTTTCTAAAATTACTTAGAGAAAAGGTGATTAATTCACTTGCTTTATGCATTGTGCACAAGTCAATTGTTACTAATGCACAATGTCATACCTATATTTCATAATCCACCATTATTGGTAAATAATTCACATAATTTTTTAATGTTTTGATCATCAATGGGTCATGTAGCCATGTGGTTTCTTTATCATTTGTCACTAGTCTAGTTAGCAACTTTGCTAGCTTTTTTATTTTATAACCCTTTGTGGAGTCTGGTAGGGTTTGCACACTATGTTGTTTTGATATTGTTATTAGTACTAGTGAAGGTTTTAATATTCTTCCACATATATCTGACCAAATTAGGTATACTAATAAACTTTCTTAAGATGCTGATAGGATGATTAGCTTATATGCATTACAGAAGTCGATGAAATCTCTCCAGATTGCCTTTAATTTACAGTCATATAATGATCTTGGCAACAGAATATTATGCACCTATATTAATAGTTCTTTTAGAATATTATTTGTACTGTTATAAATTTCTATTTTGGTTGTTTAATGGTTCTATTGATCCATTTAGACTTGGAAAAAAAATTTCTTTTGGATTTGAAAATACTATCTTCTGATGTAGGTGATGCAACATAATCAGTCACCAAGGAGCTGAAATCCAGATCAGCATGATAATTGTTGTTGTTATTTGACATTCTATTACATGATGAAACACATGGTTCAATTGGCCTAAAGGTGCATAGACATAATTTATTTCTCTTTTTTAGTCTTGAGTAAAACAATTAACAGCTTTTGTGATTAACAATGCTATCATGAGTTGAATCTTGCAAGGTGTATTGAATCCTTACTTGCCATTCAGTCTATAGTGTGTAGGTCTCACATTTGATCTAATAGTTCGAAAACAGCCTTTTTTAATTTTTAGTCTGACTTATCGAAGTGTCTTGTGAGCTTGTCTGCTGAATTTTTTGCACTTGTGATCCAATGGAACTTGTATATCAAATGTCCATTTCATTGCAAAAGTTTCAAATCTTTTTCATGTACTCCTTTTGCTATAGAGTTTTTATCTCTGATTCTATTGTTTTCCTTACAACCTTGTTGTCTATGAATACTGAAACCCAACAATAGGTTTGGTCTTTCTCAAACGATTATAGTCCTAACAAAGTTGTTTCAGACTCCAGCTTTGCTATTTCTATAAGCTGGTATCTTTGTCTGCAGTTTCTGAATACTCTGTATACAAAGAGTGTTGCTGACCAACCAGTCGTTGAGGTGTCAACAAATAGTAGAAGTATGTGTGAAGGTTTTCATGCCAGACAATCTTTTTTTTTTCAAGTTTTGATACAAACATATTGCATCCTCTTTTGCCCTCATTGATAGTTTTATTTTTCAATCCCACTCTCAAGAGTTGCGATGCATCGCATCAATTAAGTTGTAAAATTCCAGATAGCATATTTTTACTGAAGCAAAGGCTTTGCTTAAACTTATCAATAAGCCAGTTACTAAGGTCAAAGATTAGGCAGTGACCTTTTTTTGAGCTACTAAATGTTTCAATACTTGTTTTGTTATTTTTATTTTTTTATCTAGTATTTTCATTAATGCTTGCACTGTATTTATAATTAGTCTATAAAACTTGGGCTCTTGAGTAGGTTCCCAACTTCCCTTCTTTGCTAAGACCAACCTTCTCAACTTTAAGTCTGATTTGATTATATGGTTTCTTTGATACCTTAAGGCTTTGATATTTGGATAGGCAATTCAGATATCATCTATGTGGTTTCTACAGTAGATGTCTATTGATCACTAATGATTGATTAAGACCTACATTACTTTTGCAAAAGCCCATACTGCCTGACTTAGGTCAAATGGCAACACTTAGTACAAAATTATTCCTTTCTGTAACTGAAACCTAGCAACTTTTGGACCTTTTCTGTCATCAAAAGATGGTGGTATCCATTATTAAGGTCCAATGTAATAACTTATCAGTTTGTCTCTACAGTTTGAATAAAGGTTTTTAATCCTACGAAGTGAAAGAACTTTTTGGGTAATGTCCTGTTCAATCTTCTCAAATCTATAATAAGTTTTTTTTTTTTAGTCCTAGCTTTGATATTACAAATATAGGACTTATTTCCAATAGACAATCTGGCCATTCAGGCCCATCTTCAACCTTGACTATTGCTTATTCCATTTCTAATCATGTTAGTTCCTGTTCTAATCACCTTTTTTGTTCTTGGATAAATTAATATTGCCTTGGGGTCTCTTATAATGCTAAGTGAAGTAAGCCTTTTGGGAATAGTAAAATTCCAAATTTGAGCCAGCTTATAACCAGAGGTGATGCTTTTATCGTTTCTTTCAATACACTACTGACAATAATTTGTTCAAATTTTCTACTACCAAATTCATGTAGCCTGAGAGTAGTTAGCTTGAGTTTCTGCTTTGTACAGTATATTCTGATGTCTTTTGAGATTGGCCTGTCTTTCTTTCAAATAAGCATCTGTCAAATCTTGAGGAATAGTTATTTGCATAGTGCCTCAATCTACTACAGTTGTAGCATGGGAAGGCATTATTTCTTTCTCTTTCTGCCACATGAGGTCTATTTTTTCCTCCTTCTGAGTAATAAGGTTCTTGTCTTTAATATTTAGAACTTGAACTATTATAAAATTCAGAACTCTGAAAAAACTGTCCCTTACTCAAATACTTTCTTTTGCTTTGTTGTTTTATGCTTGCTGCTTGTCTCGCATGTTCTATCATTTTATTTTATATTGATAAACCTTCATTCTTTGATTGCAGTAGCTCCACTGCTACTTTCTAATCATATTCTCTTACAGCATTTAGAACTACCATTTTATCAAGTGTTTTCGCTCTTGCATCCTCAATGTGTTGGATTGCCTCATCTTCTGTTGAGACACTTAATGCCTAATCTAAATCATGTCTGATCACACACAGTGTATTATATTCAAACTAATCTCTTGAACTCTCAAACTTTACATTAGGTCAATTTTTATAGATTTTAGCTCTCATCTTTAATGATTCGATTTGTTCTAAAATAATATTAACATTCTTACACAAATGTTTAATTTCTCTTAACAACATTTTTATATCAGATGTGTTCTTGGACTTCTTCCCTACTTCTTTGGTCCTCTTAACATGTAACTCTTCCTCACCTAATGGCTAAGGTGACCTATTGAAAGATAGGCTTTCTTCTTGAAACATATCTCCCTGCATGGCTTCTTCTATATCCTGAGTGTTCTCAAATATCCCACCTTCTATATTTTCTACACTTTCCCTTAAATGACCTAGTGAAGGTTGGGTCATATCACTAATATACATGAGGCATTCTATTAGGTTAGCCTTGTTCCCTCTGTACTTAAGTTCAACTAAGAGCAAAGGTTCTTCAATGTTTCTACTAATATGTGCAAATGATGTACATTATTCTAATATGTTTTAGCTTCATTCATCAGTTTCTGTGACTCTGCATTCTGTTTATGGACTTTCCTGAAAGCCATAGTTAAATAGTAGATCTTTGTTATAAATGTATATTAAACTTCAAGTGTGCTAAAGAACCTTTTGATTAGTCAGAAAATAAGGTTTTGAGTAACTTTGAAAAGCAGTGAAAGAAAAGCACAAATTTCATTCTTGAATTTGTAACTTATTTATACTTATTATTAGACTCACTAAATCAATGATCTAATAATTCATATAACCTCCTAGATCAATAATCTAATAATTTATGCAATTTTCATTTGACTAACTAGATCAGTGACCTAATAACCCTAATGATCATGGGATCAGGTGATTCTCATGATAATATCCCTCTTGTGCCTACATCACCTTAGGCCTAATTCAGTCTTGTAATACATAAGAATTAATATACTGAATAGTATATTATTATTGGTTAATTGTAAAACATATAATAATCAACTAATTAAATTACATCATATTCATAAACCTCATTAGTTCGCTTCTCACTTTAACAAAAGAATAAAGAAAAAAACAGATCTATATATGTATTTTTTAAATGTATATTACACCTTTTATACCAAACTAATATAGTATTTGAGGATATATTATTTATTATACCTAAAGCTCATTATGATAAGACCCATTAATCTATATATATATAAATATATATAAAGTTTTAACCACTTTTATTACTAGCTCTATTCTTATGTATTAACATTCTTTATACTTTAAATCTCTTTAACATATCTGAGAAATCACTTATCTATTATTAAAAAAACAATAGTTGTACTATTATTTTTTTAAAATAACTCAACTGTATTTAACAATTTAGTAATTACATATAGTTCTATGATCATAACTTTATTTAATATATTTCAAAATGTAGAATTTTTTAGAATTATTTTGTATAGTAATTGTTGGCATTTCTTTAAAGATAGCAATGAGTTTAATTTTTTGTAAAATATTATATTTTTAAAAAATACTTTAAATTATATAAATACAATTATAAGCAAAAAAAAAAGATACTAAACAAAAAAGTTATATGCAACTCTTTTTGCTGATCTCTAATTTAGGAAAAAAAAACTGAAAAAGTACAAAGCTAAAAATGCAACAGAAAGTAGTATAGCAAGCACTTATTATAGTATTAGGAAAAGCTCCTAGTATCAAAAGCCATCATTGCTTTATTAGAATACAAAGGAAAATAAACTTCCCAAATAACAAATACAAAATTTCTTGATTTTTTTAACAAAATTTTAAAACTTTCAAGTTTTTTTTGTAATTTTAGAAATTTGTTATTAGCCTAGGAAAACAGAAGATCATAGCATATGATTACATAATATAAACAAACAAACAACAACAAACAAAACAAACACATCTCCAATTTGGTAATCACTATTCTAGCTAGGATTTAACAAAACAACCAATAATATTACAACAAATAAGTGCATGTGAATTATCTAAACAAGAAACAACCTGATC